AGAGTACAGACCAGACGGCTTAAAGCCATTTTCTTCTACGCTATCATCCGTTCTGTCTCCTCCCTGTAGCACGTCTGTGCTGTCCCTCTCTGTTGTACTAACCTTCCTCTTCATGTAATTTTGTACCTTGTTGAAGTTTGCCACGGCTAAGGGGATCCTATAGCTGGAAGCAATCCATGTATGCTCTGTGGGAGTCGAAGTTTAGACGCAGAATATCATATCGTCACTCCACCTTTAGTGTATTCGATTTCACAATCAGCACTTCCCTGCGAACACAGGGCGATATAGCAATTTGGGCTTCTTGGCTGGCGAATTGCGGCAGGGGCATTGGAATGTCAAGAGGCTTGTCACTGGAGAGGGAATCTGCTGTTGTATTTCAAAAGACCGTTCTGTGTACTTTCTCTTACGCGGTTAACTGACATTTTAAATCTCCCTACATTCCTGCTAGATTGCCGATGTGGTTCTGTCCCAATTTCACGGGCAGTAACGTTGATTTCTCCCTGCTATTCCTTGTTGAAAATATCCATGTGCCACAAGTTATTTGGCAAAAAACATGTTCTAAGCCAACACCGTCTGTCATAGTAAAAACTACATTATGTCTCAAAGAGCACAGGGAATAAAGTTATTTTAAACTAGTTGACAAAACTAACTCATTTAGTTAGATACAAGGATTGACAAAATAGAGGCATTTGTAATGCTATAGCACCTAGTTCAGCCACTCCTTTGATTGCCTCCATTTGCTGGATGCGGTGAAGACTTTCTGGTCTCAAGCGGTGCTTTGGGCTGTCAGATCTACCACGTGAATGTTTGTAGTTGCTCGAGACTTCTGATTTATGCAAATACCGTCACAAGAAAACCAAGATTAATCTTATTTCAGCCTTATTCACCAAGGAGAGGATTTGTTTCGCTTACAACGATTTCCTATTGTCTCAACTCTTCTCTGTCTTGCGTTAACCTCAAAAATGCCTTTGATTCATCCGAATTCAATCGTTAAATTTAACTTACACGGTTAACTTCTTTACCCATCGATGAAATTATTTTTATCTTTGAGTCCTGAAAAACTGATACCGTCCGATGGCTAGTCCCCCACTCGCGATCAGTATTTACGCATTGATGATTAAATTGTCGTCTTTTTCAAACTTTCAGTCAGAAGCTATCGTTTACAGCTTCACCAATCGGTCTCAGAACGCTCTACCCCGACGATAATTGAGGAGCAAGAGGCGGAGGATTTTGAAGAGGCCGAATATCGTCAGTTGCAACAAGAAGGGTACAATTTCTCCCAGCATCTAGCCGACAATAACGGTATCATGTCTACCACTGCCACCACACAGGATTTGGATCAGTTGCTGGAGGAGCTTCGTCGAACTAGTCTGGATTACTCCTCTACTGCTACTCGTAATCTCGCACCCCATCCCAATGGTACTCACTCCTCTCGTCTCTACTCCGGCTATCAACGTCCAACTTTTACAGATTCTGGTGGCGGTAGCACTGCTGGAAGGTATTCCACACGCTCCTACTCCTTCACTGGGAGTGGAGGGAGCCGTCCAGGTGGAAGATGGACTAACACCTCTTCCACCTCCACGAGTTACCAGAGATCCCAGGCCTATTCCACTGAGCGTGGAATGGGTGAAAAGCGAGGGACGACTACAGGAGAAGGTGGAGGGTTTGTGCGCCATGCAACTCCTGCACCGCAGCTCTCCTCAAGCCAACAGCAACGCTACCAAACAACTTTCCGAACCACTCTTCAGCACAAACCACCCGTTTCGCCGAAGTGGTTTAATCAGATCAATGTCACAATAGATCCAGAGTTTGGAACAGCCTCGGTATGTGACACCTACACCTCATCCACCCAACGTGTGCTTTCAGCACAGTAGGTACTGACCGGTCACACTACTTGCGTTCATAAATGTCCGAGTAGTGAACCATTGGATGCTTTACTTCCCAACAAAGGAAAGAAATTTCTTACTATTTCATGGGGGATTTTGGATTCGATAGTGGTGATGTTGGAAGTACACATGTATCCTATAGGCTGGTGTCAGTTAACTTTATCTCCACCAGAATTAATGACCTTCTTACTAGTGACTGTTGGTGGGAAAATTTTGCATCAAAATCACACTATTTGGGAGGCGAAAGTGCCGCCCACGTTTCCTTAGCAAAGGTCTAAAATACCACCGAGTTGCGTTATTTGCTTATGGTAGGTGGGTGTTTAGTGAAACGGTATTGTGGGTGATTTTTTCAGCAAAAGTGATTGTATAGGTTCAATAGTGATCCTCCTTGAATTAGGGAAGTGGGGCTTTACACTTTGAAGATCCACCTGTAATTCCATTCACTTCAGTGCCGGAGATACTATATCTCACATTACAGTTCCATTTTTGAGACCTAAATGCTTGTGTTCAACGGACTTTCCGACTGGATGACACCTGTTTTGATGATACGGAGTGCCAGAAGGTTTGTAATTCTAGCTTTTCGACTTTCAACACAAGGTTGATTCCAA